GTGTGTGTGTGTGTGAGAGAGAGAGAGAGTGTGTGTGTGTGTGTGTGTGTGCGTGTGCTTGTGTGTGTGTGAGAGTGTGTGTGCATGTGTGCGTGTGTGTAAGAGAGCGTGTGTGTGTGTGTGCGCGGGTGAGAGAGTGCGTGTGTGTGAGAGAGTGTGTGTGTGTGTGCTTGTGTGTGTGTGAGAGTGTGTGTGCATGGAGATAGAGTGCGTGTGTGTGAGAGTGTGTATGTGTGTGTGTGTGTGCGCGTGCCTCAATCCATGGGACCAGCCAAATGTCAACAGTGATGTCATCTAGAGCTTAATCAAATGTTATTTTCAATCACAATTTTGACTTCCAACGATTATGAACATGAGATAATTGAGATAAATGACACTCTGGTTTTCGTCTTTGGAACACATGAAGCAATCTGTCACACAGCCAGGTCTTCACATACTTGCAAGGTCAAACACTCACAGAATTGTGTCAAAATGCCCATCTTGGTGAGTATTCATGTAAACACAGCGAGCTACGTCTTAAAGGGGTAGTTCACCCAAAAACTAAAACTCTGACGCTTCAGAAAGTTCATAATCCATATGAATCAAGTTGGTTTTGTCCAAGTCTTACGAAGAGATACGACTGTTTTATATGATAAACAGATTTTATTTATTTAAATATAAACCTGTAATGGACACATCACATATACACAGGGGTGTGAAGTAACGAATTACAAATACTCACGTTACAGTAATTAAGTAGTTTTTATCAGTAATTGTACTTTTTTGGGTAGTTTAAAAATGGTGTACTTTTACTTTTACTTGAGTACATTTTAAGTGATGTATCGGTACTTTTACTCCGCTATTTTCCTCCGTTTGTGGTCGTTACATGCTTATTTTAATTTTATTTTTATCCATCAACGTGATTGGACACTACATTTTTTGGAAGGTAATGGTACTTTTACTTGAGTATATTTTTTCAGTACTCTGTCCACCACTGGTAAACACACAAAGCTAATTGGTTCTTGTGCACCAAGCAAGCACATTTGAGCTGCAGTTTACCATTAGTCTGTGTGTGTTGATCAATGCTTATAAATTAATAAAATCCTAAATTCAATCTGTTCACATCATAAAGCAGTCGTGTCAGAAGATGTGGGTTCAACCACTTACTTTATTAACTTTCTGAAGCATCAAATTTCTCAGGTTTCATTAAAAATATCTTGCATTGTATTTGTGTTTCGAAGTCTAATGAAATGGTTTAGAACGAGTAAATAATGACAATTTTTATTTTTGGGTAAACTAAATCACTTTTAAGTGATTGTAAACAGTTTTATGTTAATCAAACAAAACAAAAAAGGAATCACTCACTGCTCTTGACTGAGTAACTTGTTATTGAGTAACATTATTGTCAATCAGTATTGTGAAATTTCAATAGCACTTAAAATGTTGGTATCGCATCAACCTTATTTCCAGCAAAAAAAAAAAAACAGAAGTATGTGTAGGCCTATATTGTTATCAAGGGGAAAAAAAGGTCATATTTGTCATATCGCACACCCCTGGCGTGATGTTTCCAAAAGTCAAATAATTAATTCTCTTAAATCAACATGACCTAAACCATTGACTAAAATGATTGTGATTATAATCGAATCGAATAGCCCAGTCATCCACATCCGCTTATTTTAGCTACTTTTTTTTTTGCTTGTTCAACAAATCATGACATTCTGACAATAAGAGATTAAAGTCTAAACAGCTCTTTTACATAAATATGAATCAGCTCTCAGCGTCAGATTTAAACCCTTATTTTCATTCCTCTATGCTGGGTGTGGAAGCCTCCTTTAGAGAGCAGCTCTCAGACTGACTGAAGCGCAGCTCACCTTGTTGTGACTCTCAAAGTAGGACTCCTTCTCCAGGCGATCCATCAGGTACTCAAAGACCTCCTGAGGGATGGGCACCACCCCGTCAGCGCGCCGCTTGTCATTCATGATGTCCAGCCAGATGTAGTCTTCCTCGTCTATATCGTACTCCACCTCCTCATCCAGCTCCTCAGCAGACTTGTCGATGTACCTGAGAGGAGGTGAAGGAGACGCAGGCGTCAGGGTGCTGCATTCAGCCCTCAAACCTCACACAAATACACCAGAAGTGCCTTCCAGGTCAACAACGTTCACAATGTAATATACTTCTGTAATGTGTTATTTCTGAGAGATTCAGATTTTATCCAGTGATCAGATGGTGACCAGGATGTGGAGGATGAAGGACAAGTTCACCGTCCAAAGCATCGCAAAATCTCATTTCAGATCTGTCCTCAATAGTAGTACATTAGTACGGACTGTTCTACACAATCACAAATCCTTTCATTATAACTGACCAAATGCAAACAGCAGGTAAAGTGCAGACAGCTTCACTGATGATAACAGAGCTCCGTCAGTGATAGGAGCTTTCTGTTTAAAACCCATCCACTATTTCAATGAAAGTTTTATTTGTCATGCTGCTAGCTACTCACTGTGCAGTTTCTGGACTGACAACCGTATTTACATGCTGGATCGCTTCTGAAAGTGTGATGACTGACAGTGGTAACCATGGCAATGGACTGAGATCAAATCTGAAGCTGTTATTCAAAACAGATCAGTGCATTTAGAGCAAACTAACAGACATGACGCTTATTCCATGTAAAGTGTTTCTTCTTCTTCTTAATGTTTTTTTTTGTTGATCTTTTTGTATCATTTTTTGTATTTATTTTTTACATTGGTAAATATAATATATATATAATAAATATGGTTTTAAATGTTCTTTGTGTTCATTTAGTAAACAACTAAGTTGTCACCATGTCTAGATTACATGTCTAGGTAGGTAACGATATCTGTTCTATCGTGATCATGTCTTTTTCATGGGGGGGGGGGGGGGGGA